AGGAGGCAGTGAGTTATTATGCAAATGCATATTTCTTTGCACAATGTTGGAAATGTTGGCATTAATAAATGAATAAAATTTCCTTATTTCCTTATTACTTCTTTTTCTTTTCAGTCACATATATCGTGATATATCGTTGATGAAATTTCTTCCAATATATTGAATATCGTAGATATCGCGAATCGTGATATTATCATATCGTGGACCACATATCGCCACAGAATTGAATCGTGAGGTACCTGTATCGTCCCACCCCTAGTAGCATATGACCTGTGAATCATCTTGAAGCATATGAATTGATCTTTAGAGGTACTGCTTAAGTTAAACCAAATCGTTTTCCCATCTGGTTCCAGACTGTTGCTACTGAGTTCCCTGCACCATACCCTCAGCCTCACCATACAGTCAGTATCTTGAGCAAACAATCAAGTAGAGAGTTATATATACTGTATGTGTTACTGTCCCCCGAGAGCCCCACGCCTAGCAATCCACTCCTCCATAGGATTCTCTGGCAAGGGCCTGTTCCAGGGCACCCCATAAGTCTCACTGGAAAAAATAGTATGATGTGTCCAGTAAATCATATTCCTCCTTAAATGTCACAAATTGTCAAGCATGGCAACAGAGAGAAAGGGATTTGGATAGGCAACATGCAGGAGAGCCGGTGGATAAGAGTCTGCTGAAGCACAGGAACTGGGACTGGGGACTGCTGTTATTCTGGCTCAGGAGATTGCTGCAGTCATTTGCACATCATGACGAATGAGAGGTTAGTGCATCCCTGGGCTTGATGACTGCTCAATGTTTTGGGGATTTATATCTACTGACTGAATAGGAGTTGAAGGCAAGTGGAGTTAAAATGTTTCCGCCATTTTAACTCGAAAACCCGCTGATGTTGTTGCTCTGAGTGTAAGCGGGCGCCATCTTGATTATTGCACAATACCTGCGAGCTGCCTGCCTGCTCTCGACATTTCTGCAGAGAGGAAACGTGCCGCTTGAGAACACACGGTGTTTTCGCCATTTTGTGGCCGACCCGTTGAGATACATGACGTACACTTGATGCCCCCCCCCCCATCACTGTGGGATGTTCCATTCTCAATCTACAGGCCTGTAAAGCATGGGAGTGCTTTTGGTGACAGGAATGTTGATGAATACTCACTGTTTTTATCAATATTTCAATGTTTTGTCATTTGGAACTTGGTTGTATGGACAGAAGTGTTTTAAAGATATCTACCAATAAAAGTCAACATTTTAACAGTAAATATTGCCAAAATATGGACATTCGCCCAGTATATTTTATTTTATATTAACATGTTGTATGATAACTGTTGTATTTTAGTTTATTTTCATCAGATTTACAGTTACAATTGCATTCTAGTTGTATTAGAAGATATTCAGTTGCATTATAATATATCTATATATTATAATATCTTATGATGGTTTTGATGGTTTATTGCATTAAAATATAGCTTTTTTTACTAGACAAGGATGAAAATATCAGATTTTTTCTGTTTTTTTTGTGTAACATTCTTCACACCCCATAGCTCGACCCCAGACTCAACACCTGAGTACCTTCATAGTAATTTCTGGTGAATTGAACCACATCACTATGGTAGCTACACTTCCCAACCCAGTATGTGAGTTGTCATACTAGAGAGGAGAGGACCCTGGACTTGCTGTATGCTAACGTTAAGGATGCATACAGCTCTTCCCCCTACCCCTGGGTAGGTCAGACCACAACCTAGGACACATACACCCATTATGTACCTCTGGTGAAAAAGGAGCTGGTGACCACAAGACAGTGAGGAGACTGTTAGAGAAGGTCTATGATACTTAAAGCCTAGTTCACACAAAACGATTTTAAGCCCAATTTGTTGGTCAGCAGATCAGACGGCGACTGTCAGGCTGTGATCGGGGGTAAATCAGCAATCAATCGGCGGTCAACGAAGCATCAAAATGGCTCACTTACGCATCACTGACACATCGCAGACGCCAGTCAGATATCTAGGATGCCAAATATCTGGAGGAGTCAGCCGACACGACATCCATATCCAGCATGTGCTGATCCATTCCTTCACCCATATTCTTTGTCTTTATAATTGATATCTTTAAAATAACAAACAGCTGTTTGGTGTTTTCATTCCATTTCCCGTTTCACATTTACATTACCTCACATTTCTTTGTGCAGGGTCTATGTAAGTTTAGCAACCCTTGGGGGAGCTGTGGCACTGCCCTACCACAGCATTTGAAAGTGCCATTAACTGCAAGGAACTGGGAGGCAAGGCAGTAGGGGATACAAGTTCCACATATACTCTGGTCAGTGAACATGTATGGATTTGTGTCAAAGTTTCAGAGGACAAACTTACTGCATGGAATGGGGATCCAATGGGGAACCCAGGAAACCCCTTGATTGGGTAGAGATGGAACTGAGCCTACAGGATAAAACCTGGCTGGTGGCTGTTGAGGTGGTGAATGGCAAAACCCTTGCATTTCCTGCTCTGCTGTTATTGGACTTTGTTTTCTTCACAGGCATGTATATCGATGTTGCAGAAGTCTACTGGTTTTGGGGAAATGAAGACAAAAGATTTTTCTTCAGTGCAGAGTCCTCTCTGCTTGGGGAGGGGGAGTTTAGCAACTATGTGGCTTTCTTTTCAGTAGATGCTCCTTTGGCCACTGCACTGTTCCCTACATTGACCACTTTGGAGGATTCAGACTTAGTCCAAAAGGCAATTCAGGAGTCTATTCTGGAGCAACGCAGGAAACCTCAGTGAAAGACCCTTCTACTCAGCAACACTAAATTCATCTTGGATGAGGGACTCTGATGAGGAGGACTTCCTTGGCTTCCGGGACACTGCATGTTCTGCTTCCTGTGGTGGTTGTACAACACAAGTAAGATGCACTGAGCTACTGAAGTATCAGATCTGCCTCACCAATCCACTTCCCATCTGCCAGAAACCCTATCGTGTCTCCCTTGAAGGTAAGGAAGGAACTCGTTGACAACATGTTGATATTATTGAACCGTCTTGCTCTGCTTGGGTTGCTCCACTTAAGGTTAGCAAACCAAGATCTTAAATACCAGGTACTGGCAGGTGGAGATGGACCCTGAAGTGCAATAAATCACAGCTTTCATCTGCCTTCTCTGAAATTTTGTGAAATATTGTATCTGCCACTGGAGTTAATGTGGATCAGACAAGACTGAGGCAATTTCACAATCCCCCACAAACCTGAAACCCATACAGTGATTTCTGGGCATGGCAGGGTGGTATCATTGGTTTGCTCCCCACTTTTCGTAGATTGCTGAGCCACTCAATGCCTTAAAGAAAAAAATAACAAGGTTCCTCTGGTCGCCAGCATGCCAAGCTGCTTTAGATGCCCTTAAAGAACATCTGGTAAACCCACCTGTCCTAAGTCACCCAAACTTCAATGCTCCATTTTTATAAACCAGAAAACACAAAACTGGTGGGTAAACTCCAGAAAACTCTTGTCCAAACAAAATGTCAACCTTTTGGTTTTCTTGGGCTATTACTCCAGGTGGGTGGAACTGTTCCCCTTAAAAAAGGGGAACAGAAACCATATTTCAAGTTCTGGTGAATGATGGTTCATCCTGATTTCATTCTCTCCGATCATGGGTCACAGTTTGTCTCAGTCTTCCAAATGGTGTGCCTTACCTGGAATGTGGGACACAAATTAACATCTGCCTGTCATCACCAGACCAACCTAACAGAGAGAGTAAACCACACCCAAAAAACATGATTGCATCCGATGTTGGAAATCAGCAAAACCATTGGGATAAATACCTCCCAGAGTTAAGGTTTGCTATTAACATGGCAGTCCAAGAGTCCAATGGAGTGTCCCCTGCAGAGCTGAATCTCCGTTGTTTGCCAAGACGGCCCCTAGATATGGTGCAACAACCTAGAGAGCATGCTCCTGATACCCCTGCCTACACCAAGATCGCACAAGAGGATCTATGTTCCTTTATTCCTATAAATCCTGGACTCTGCATGATGTCGGTAGAAAAGGAACTATGATAAACACAGATAAGACATGGAGTTTGGAGAACAAGACAGAGTGTGGATATGAACCCATCCTCTCTCCAAAGCAGAGAAGCTGAAAAATTAGCCCCTAAGTGGCAAGGACCATATCGAGTGGAGCAGCAAGTTGGGCCAGAAAACTATAAAATGGTGTTTGGTTTGCAACCCTAATGCTCAAAAATCATTGGCTTCTGGGACACTGCATGCTCTGCTTCCTGTGGTGGATTGGCAGAAGAATCTGGAGGGAAATCAGGATTTTCAGCCTGACAGGTCCTCTGACTCCCTTAGCATCCGATCACTTTGAAAAGTCTGTGTTATTGATGCCAACTTGTAGTAAACTTGTGTCTCTGGAGTCTGGAGGCATAATCTGGTGAATTTGTGAATTTCCCAGTCAGATTCGCCAGGATTTGCTGGTCTTGGCAGAGTTAAGGCAGACACTGCCACCTGACTAACAACTGACTGACTGACCTACGGTACCCGCTGTATATCGTAAATAGCCTGGTCTCTGTAATTTGAATTGTAAATAATGTGTGAACGACAGTGTTCCATAGGGATCAGCATATGCAACTTCATGTGTTTTACTTACTTTATTCACACAGTGACCATACAGTCCTCATTGTTTCATAGCTGGGGTGGCAAATGCAATGAGGATGACAGCAAATTAGATGCTAACAGAGTCGAACACAAGAGGTCTTGGCCAACAAATATACATTTATGAACAGACAAATAAAAACAATTGCTGTTGTTAAAGTTCCCTCTGCTTCTTATGTTTTCTCTGTGTGTTTTATACCCCAACTATGATGCATCTCAACACAAGAACACTATTATCAGCTCCTGCTGGGCAAGAGGGGCTGCATCAAGCATAACGCAGGGTTATCCTTTGTTTTAAAATGTCCTTAATAATATTGTCTAATATTAAATGGTCAAATTTGTCACTTTATCTTGAAAGCAATGTTCCATATTTTCTAAAACATACAGGATGCATATATGGAAGAAGAGGGACCCAGAGGTGACATGACCATCCAATCAGGGCTCAGTAACTCAACAGAAAGCATTGACAGTATGAAGGCCTTGACAGCTGCCATAGAAGCTGCTAATGCACAGGTTAGTGCTTGCATTGTTTTTGTAATTGTAAAGTATTTTGCAAATGCAAATCCACATTTGCTTTATGTAATAAACAGGTTGTAACTTTGTAATATCCACCCAAAGCAAGTATTTATTCATATATTCACAGTGTATTTAATGTTTGTTCTCATTATTCCCATGTAGGTCCATGGACCAGCCAGTCAGCATGTCAGTAACAGCACCATGACAGTCAGCATACCCACCCCCTCAGTCCTCAGCAGGGGGCCAGTTATTGAAGACCACCGAGATGGATACAGGAAAGAAGCTTTCAGGAAGGGCAAATGTCTCTCCATAGGCATCCAGGTATTTATGAGACTGCAGTGGAGGTGGAGAGACACAGAGCAGGAGGCCAATGGAAATAATGGTTTTCAGTTACTTACACATTATCTAAACCCTGTACATTTGTGTTTCTGTATAGTCATTTCTACCCACCAGTCACTATTACCTCCCCAAATCAAGAATACTTTGATTTTTCAAAGCCTTGATTTCACATAGAGTAAGATCTGGTGTTCACATAAATTAATCACTGCTGTCCTTCTAATGATGAAACCACTGTCATTATTTAGTTGTAATTGGTGCTTGCTTTCAACAAAAAGAAGATGAGAATTTTATGAAAGGCCATGATTTAATTTTATTATTAGTGATTAATGATTATAAGGGTTTATCCTGTCTCCTGTAGGTGGATGGACCTGAGGAGGTTCCGGATCCAGAAGACCCATCCAAGTTCACCTCTGTAGGGGTGCAAGTGGAGGATGACAGAGGGTGAGGCGCATATTTTTCTTTACTCTTTCTTTTTTCTTTTCTTGACCATTTACTCAGTATATACTTGTTTACATGTTTACCTTGTTTTTGTGTGCATTTCCTCAGCTTTATTGCCACTTATGTGTACACATTGGTTTGTGGACAGCCTATTTGAGGCCTCGAGTTTAGCAGTTTGCCCGCCACCATGTTGATTTTTTGCAACCTGGCACCAGACATGACAATATTTGGACAGGACGGTGGCGCTACCAAGCTTGGTTACCTAGGTGCATCTGTAATTCGCGTTAACTGTGATTTTAACAGGGTGCTAATTTTGGCTAGTGAAAAAACGGCTTAAAAAAAAAAAGAACAACAGACTCTTAATAACCATTTTCAACGGAGCTGGTTAAATGTAAACAGAGCAGCAAATATGAGTTGTCTCTAACCTGATTGACAAGTCGCCATGGTAGCAACTTGTCAATCACGTGTTAGTCCCACCTTAAAGCGTATGCTGCTTTGTGGTCTATTTTCCTCCAAATGGGACAATAATTTACTAAATGAACATCATGCTGTGTTGAAGAAGACTTGAAATTAGCGACTGAGACCATAAACTCATTAGGAAAGTGTTTACTGTGGTAATAAATCAGGTGTAAAGTAACGTTATTTTACCTTTTTTTTAAAAAAGGAATCAGACTTCTTTTTGAAACCACAGGAGATACCCCTGCTGGACGTTAGAAAGAATGCAGGTTTAAGTTACTACGGCACTGGCTTCACTTGGTAGAGCCGGAGGTTGCCGCTTGGTTGAGATTGAGGACAACATAAAGGAAGTTAAAGAAAGACTCTTATTTGTCTTCTCCTTTACATATCTCCGGTAACATATATCTATCACAGTGATTAAAATGGTAAATGGTGTGTAGGGGAGAGCAGGGTGATTTGACTGTAGAGATGTTGAACCACCCTTTGTTTCTCAGCTTCATAGACATAATGCGTTCATATGTTCATGTTCATCTTTTTGAAGAGTCATCCATTTTATTCCCTCTGTGATGAAGAGAGGCCTATTTATATGTTCAAGAAGTCATGACTCTTGTGTCTAAACAATTACAGATAAGTCTGAAAAAATCTGAAAAAGTCTGAAAAAGTGTTAGTGCTTTAGGAAGTTACCGTATAAGGCTATACTTTCAGCACAACCTCTAAACTGCTGGATGACACAAGTTTGTTAAAATGGCAGAGATTGGGTAATTTGAGCAAAAAATTACCTGGGGGAAGTTCGGCCAGCTATTTTACTGTGATTCTATATTGCATTCTTACATTTTATCACTGAAATAATGTGACATGAATTTGTAGACCAGAAACCAGTATGCCATGCTTCTATAAATGAAAGACAGACAGAGATTCAACTCCTTGTGTAGTAAGTCCATACGTCGGGTGGCAAGTAAAAACTGACTCAACTCACCCTCTCTCCCTTATTTCTATACATTCACCAGAGGCTAATGTGCCTTCTGCCATCAGAAACAGAAATTAACACATTCAAACACATTCAATTTGGGGTTCACTCTCTTGCCCAAGGATACTTTCAAATGCAGACTGTGGGAGACGAGAATTTGTTGGGTCAGATGTACGGCCAGGCTGGGCCAGTTAAAGCCTGGTCCCCACCCTCACCAACTTATTAAACATAGTTAAAAAACACTCTTAGCTTTCTACTGTAATGACCTGAAAATATGTCACTTATATTGTATTTTTTCTGGAATATGTGGGTTACTGTATTTTTTTGGGCTTGCTAAAGTGCTTAATTCATATGTAATCCAAGTTAAGATGTAAGAGTTACTGAAGTGGCAAATGTCTATTGGTTGAAGATGCAATAGGATTTATCATTTAATTATCCTCGCTCTGTTCAGATGTGTCCAGGTAATTTAACAGTTAAGTTGTGTTTCCTTAAAATGTTTTAAGCATGGTTTACTACATAAGATAAGCTCACTAATCATTTTGTTAATGTTAGAGATTTAGTGACTAATAAAGTATCCTGTTGAACTACGGGTAATCACGCGAGAAGGGAGATCAGGGGGAACTGAGGGAAGAGTTGCACGGGCACGAAAGCTAGTCGGCAGCTAACAGTGCTTTTACGGCACTTAACGTTTTAAGTTGGACTATTCATGGTATCGGACATGCTCTCGCCGTCGTAGGAGTTTGTGACTGTGGGGCTACCGCTGGAGGTGTGTGTATTTGCACTGGGAAGTGAGCTTAGACCTGTTAGTTTCTGTGGCTAAGTTAGCTCGTGGCTTCGCGGGACTGTGACACCGTCGTGGGAGGGACCGCAGACACACCGTTCGCCTGCTGGACGAGAGGAGACCACATCGGAACGCTGGTGTTTTCCTCCACGGAGGGATATGTTGCTGGTGGTGACGGACGAACGAAGCTGTGTAACCCTCGCTGTGCTGCTGCGGACAACGTCGCCCCGGTAGGATCTCGGGTTTCCACTCCACTCAAGGAGGTACTGTTACTTTCTTCACTCTATGAGCTCCAACTAAGCGCGCCAACGAACTAATGCAGGCCTGCTAAAAGAACAAACCTAAAAAAAAGAGTGCACTCAGGTTATAAAAGACTAATCCCTATATTCCCCGGGTCTTTTGAGATTGTTTATTTTTCACTCCATTATTTGTTGTTAAAATGTTATGTGATTCTTGCATAATACAAAGAAGGAAACTGAGCTATTGCGTCCTTGATGTCTGTCTCATCACATGCTCTGTATCTGAGTAGATCAGTATTTTCTGTGGTAATAAGAGGTTAAAGTCAGGATTATCCCTCCAGCCTCTCATTGGTAGTAGAGAGAGTGAGAATCATAGCGTTCCTAGACAGGTTTATTATACAATGGGATGTCTCTTTCACCATTTTACCAAACATTAGGGTTAAGGGGGCTCAACACTTTATATGTTGCTTTATAGTGTACTTGCCTCATCACGAGCCGATGGTGAAAAGGGTTACATTTTTGGGGGCTCGTCCGGTGTTTTTTTTGCAAATTGTGATATCCTGTGGGGTTGTGTGCAGATTTAAACCTGTTTTTGCCGTCTCATACTGAATATTTGACTGGTCTGTACAGTTTTCCTATTTTACCTATTTCAAGTACACAAAATGGATGTTGCTGAGATTGAAGCCTGGTGTAAAAGGAAGCAAATAGCTCGGGAAAATGTGGTAGTGATAAGTAATTTTGATCCAAATGTCACAGATGATATTGCTTCACGCTTTGAGTCTTGTTAAAGCTTTTGGAACTGCTAAGATAATTGATCGCTGTCTAGATGTAGCTTCCAAAACACAGTTTGTGTTGATTCAGTCATCCAGTGATCTTACTAAGCAGACTATACCTGACCGTGCACATCGAGCAGATTGTGAGAGGTGCATTGCCACAAGACATGATTGCCCTTCGCATTCGCATGACACATAAGCTGCGTGAACCACCTTCCTTCAGTGACTTATTGAGAGAGGTCAGAGAGGAAGAGGACATGCTTCAAAGTAGGAATGATGTCAAAAGCCAAGTGATGTCAAAGACTGTTACTCCTGTTCCCAGGCCCACTCCTGAAATTAAAGTCATCCTGAAGTGGAACAACTGAAAAGAGACATCACTGTCATGAAAGCAGAAATGATGAGTCTTAAAGCTGCTACAATAACCTCCAAGCCAGACACCCAAGGTCCACAACTTGAAGTCCCTGCCAAGGCCAAACCCAGGAGGAATGACACTCTGCAGAGAGCTGGCAATGAGGAAGATAGACCTGGGATATTTTGCTATAGATGTGGGGAGGATGGACATTTCAAAAGAGAGTGTGATGGTGAAGAAAATCTTAAGAGGGTCAGCAAGCGCCTCATCAAACTGACAAGAAATCGGGAAACTACCACGGGAACCAGTAAAGGAACGGTCTGGCTTCCCTGTGGTTAAAACACGTTCCACCAAGTGCATCAAACCAGACGAGAAAGTGGAAGACACTATACCTGAGGGCTTAGTGGGACCAAGCTCTGCTGTACCAGTGCAGATTGAAGGCATTTATGCTAAAGCCGTGCTCGATACTGGTTCTCAAGTGACTTTGCTGTACAGATCCTTCTACAACAGGTACTTGACACACCTGCCATTGACACCTATCAGTGCCTTGCAGATATGGGGCCTCAGTCCTGCTGATTGCCCTTATGATGGCTATTTGTCACTTAAGCTGGAGTTTTTGGAAGCTGACGTTGGAGTGACGGAGACTATTGATGCCCTTGTGTTGGTGTGTCCTGACCCAGTTGTGAGTGGTGGAGCTTCTATACTTGTTGGCACAAACACACCGACTGTGAGATGACTACTTAAGAGCTGTAAAATTTTGTCAGCAGCATGCACATTCATCCTGCTTTCAAAAGGGCTTTTGAACAGCTGTCAGAAGGCCTACTTGATGATGACCACAAGAGAGGAACTGTGTGGTTTACACAAAATAAACCTGTTACTGTGCGCCCGGGGGGGTAGCCCGAGTGACAGGTGTACCAAAGTTTCAAGGGATTCCAAGTGCTCAAGCCATTCTGGTGGACTCACCTGATGAACCCGCTGATGACCCAAGGTTTCCGGGAGAGCTTTTGGTCAGACCAGAGTTGCAGGCTCCCACTGTTGTGATGTCTAAGAAAATCACTGTGCTGGTCAGGAATGTATCGAAAAAGGAGATCACATTGACCAGAGGAATGCCGGTTGCTCACCTGTTTCCAGTAGACGTGGTGTCATCATCCTCTGTAAGCCCAGAGTCTAACACCGAGTCAGCGGGGAAAATTGACCCCATCCTCCTTTAACTTTGGAGATTCGCCAGTCCCCCAAGAATGGAAGGGAAGATTGGTGGGCAAAATGATGACAGGAGGTTTTCTCTACCCATGAGTTTGATTTTGGTGTTGCTGTAAAAGTGCACATCACACTATCAAAACCACTGAGGACAAACCTTTTCGAGAGAGATCTCGCCGTCTGCCGCCTGCTGACTTAGAGGCATTGAGACAACATTTGTCACAGCTTAAAAAGGCTGGGA